AACAATTATCCCCATGGTTTCCTATGTTTACTTGTGTTTCTATGATGAGGGAAGGAGAGTGTTGTGCTGTGAAACTGTCGTACAGAGAGAGACCTGAGCATGGAGGGACAAGACGTTCAGGGAACAGAGGAACATTATTGGTAGATTTGCTGCTAAAATGATGTGAACAGAATGTATATCAGTAAGGCAGTTAACACTTTGAAACTCTGCCAAATGTTTTCATTAAAAAAAAAAAAGTAAAGTACAAAATCATTGATTTGATGTTTTATACTGCATATGCGAGGGTATACATAAACTCTAATACTTACTAAAGCAGAACTTCAAGTAAGAAATACACCCACAACATAGTCCATACATGAGTTATTGGAATAACTGCAAAGACTTTGCTTCAAGTAATCATTGATCTGTCTTTGTACACAGTTTCAACTATCCACTACCTTAGTTGATGAGAGATGAGAAGAACAGCTGAAATGAGTGGCTTCTTCAGGTGAACCTATGAGAGCAGGTAATGGAAGTGGCCACTGCAGATTTGAAGGAAGAGGAACCTTGAGTTTTCTTACTGATCTTGGCTCCACTACATTACTGAGGTGCTGACCTGTGCCAGTGCTGCAGGGCTCAAAGTAGAACTTTGAGCCTACCATTAAAACATGTGTACTGCCAAGCTTAAAATAAGTAAGTATATTGGCTCTTACAGTTTTCTCTTAATGTCCCTACAAATGTCCCTCAGATACCTGTGGATCCTGCCAGTGAAGTCCACTAAATGCATCTTTCTGTGGTGGCTTGGCAAGGAGCATCCTGAATTCAGAGCAGAAGTCCACTCTCACACAGGTTGTGCCTGCTTGCACTACGATGGGATGAAAAAATGTTGCAGGGGGCATAGCTATCAGCATTGTCACTGCAGATTCAGACTTTTGTAGCTTCTTAATCAGCTTCTGGTCACATCTAGCCCTGTTCACTGCTTTCTGGATTGACAGCACTGCCTCTCTCATTTAAACCCTCCCACTGTGAACTGCAGCATTTGGAAAGTGAGTGTGTAACATTGCTCCACTTGTTTTGCCCAACCAACATGCTCATAAAAAATATTAACCCCCTTCCCGCCACCTCCTCCTGGCCCTTTAACAGGTCCTAAATGTAGGGAAATGGAGGCAGGCATTTGGATCATGTGACAGTTGTGATTGCCAGTCACAGCAATCACATGATTGGAAAGCTTCCAGTCGCAAATATGCATCAGGAGCTTTCCAGTACCCTCCAGTTACTGTGCTGGGATCGCACAGGAAATGCGTTCTCAGCACAGTAAAGTGTTTACATAGGAAAGCATATATCCGGCAGTTCAGCATTAAAGTGGAAGATTACTCTATTTTGCATCTTTTACCTACAGATAAGCATTTAATAAGGCTTACCTGTGGGTACTGTAAATATCTCCTAAATGTGCACCATTTAGGAGATATTTACTGTAGAAACGCTGATGATGACACCAGCTCATGCGCACTACGCTCTCAATGGATGGCGTGCCATCCATTGAGAGAGCTGTGCCATTGCCGAAACTCCTTTTGTGTATGTGCGGGTGTGACAACATTGCGGCTTGGCCAATCAGATGGCCACAGCATGCGAACCCAGAAGGAAGATCTGGTGAAGATGAAAGCCTCAGAGAGCTATGACAGCTCTCTGCAGGAGGGCTTCATTTTAAAGTAGGTCTTTCAAAATGTGCTAGTATGTGTTGCACACTAGCAAATTATGCTCTTAACTTGCAAGGAGAAGATTTTTAAGATTTTTTTTTCGTGGGTTACTACCATTTTATAGCTCTCCTGCCGAGAAGTTGCATATATGGTACAGCCAGCAGGCAGTGGTTAAGGTGTCCCTGTCAGGCTTACGAAAAACAAAGTCCAAAGACATGCTGGTAGATTAACTAACTCCTGTCTAAACTGGCCCTAGTATGTGTACGTATAAATGTGAGTTAGGGCCCTGCATAAATTGACAGTGCTATATAAGTACCTGTAATAAATATTAAATAAACAAGTCCTTGCAAAAGAAGATGAATTATACGCACTTCTCCAGTGGTCCATGTCTCCTACCTTCCTCCCTCCTCCCATTCCCATCTCTGCAGCATCCATCACTCTGTATTCGGTGTTTGACACTTCTGAGTCGGGACACAGAACTCATCAGTAACATAGGGTTCAAAGGATGAAATCATGGCGTTCAGGGACACAGGCATCCTACACTTCTTAAAGTGTTGAATAGCAAAAACACTGTTGGAAGCCTCAGTGCTGGTACAGAGAGATGGTAGGAGACATGGGTCACCAGAAAAGTGAATTTTAATAACTCTTTACTTTCTTTAGATTTTGTTAACCTGACATGGCTTTAAGAGAAAGGCAATTACTTGAACAGCAACGAGTTTTGCATCTCTTCCTAGATATCCCTAGAATATCCTCCCCTTTTCAGTTTTGCAGTTGGATTCTATATGTGCCCAAGATGGCAAGCAAGGAAATAAAAACACGCAAAGTTTACAGTTAGGTTCTGCCAATCATGAAACAGAAGGTGGAAAATGGCACTCCAGAACCCAGCCACTATAAAGATAGATAAAGATACGGCTTCAGCCTGAACGCCTTCTGGCTGTGTTCTTCAGACATGTATTTCCTGCCTTTGAGATGTGGCCAGAAGTTCAGACTGAAGCCCTATCTTTACCTATCTATATAGTGGCTGGGTCCTGGTGTGTGATGTTTCCACCTTATGTTTTCCAATTTGTTTCTGCTAGTCTGGATGAGCTTGTTTGAGCATCAGCACCCGATCAGCGCTTTGGACTGCAGGAGGAATTTTGTAGTGCTTTGAGCGGTGCTCCAGGTTCTTTGTATATAGGCTCTGCCAATGCTTTTCCTGCTGTGCTAGACACAGACTTATTAGTATATTACAGTAAATGCAGCTCTGGGGGTTGGAGAAATCAGTATAGCCATCTTTTTTTAAGTGTGTCATTTACTAAAGGGCGCATAAGGGGCATACATCTTAGCCATATCATACAAATGTATATTTATGTCTTTATGGTTGCCACATGACTGTCTGCTTCTATGCAAATGTAGTCTAGTCTGGATTCTGTGCTGCGCACCATAGCAACTGAGTGGGAAAATGTGTTGCTAAATGTATACATTTAATCAGACAGTGCATGGAGCCTCACAAAGATTGAAGCCAACATGCTACCCAAGATATAAGATGTACACAAGCTGAACAATGAAGAAATTACAAAACCCTGATCGCATAGCAAGTATATAGGCAGTGATTGGGATTTGATGATATTTTATGTTGCATGCTGATGCAAAAATTGAAGCGGAATGGAGCACAAGTTTCCCACTGCAGCAAATCATTTTCTTTGTTTCAGTTCTTTGGAAACTAAAAGATGAAATGTGCTACTGATCATTCTGGCCATTCATACATGTAACAATGAATAAATTCATAGTCAAAGATTTGATCTTCTTAGGTTAGTTTTTGGTCAAAAATTATCTTTTGGGACAACACAAAGAAAGATCAATTTGGTCAAATCCAAATGCGTTTTCTGTACAATTGTTACATATTTGGAAAATACTCTACCTTTCCAGGAAGAGATACATGTAGCACTCATAGTTGCCAACTCAATCTTTTAAAGCCTTGCTTATACATGCAGCTGTTTTTCATTTTTTTGTTTTGTTTCTTTTTTGACAGCTCTGACAGACAGATCTGTAGTGGATCACTTTGCAGAGCTAATTCATGGGTGGCTAGGAGGCAATATGCCACCTTCTGAATGCCACAAGTTGCACTTTTTAACCCAATAAAAACATAATAAACTTGTATTGTACCTTTTATTTGGCCTTAGCACACTGAGGTCTCCAAACTGTGGCCTAGGGGCTGGATGTGGCCCTTTGATTGCCTTTATCTGGCCCTTGGGGAACTATTCCACCAACTGACACAAATGATGGAGTACCATTCCTTCTACTGACACCATCAATGGGTCACTATTCGCTTCATTGATATCAACAATGGGGCACTATTCCTCCCATTAAATCCAATGATGGGGCACTGATGACAAGGGATTTTATACTCCCAATGGCAACAGTCTAACCCCCCTTAAGCTTGATGGACAGTAAACTGGCCCTTTGATTAGAAAGTTTGGAGACCCCTGGTCTAGTACCATGCAGTCAAAGGTTCCACAAATGTATAGTAATGCTGGTGACACTTCACCTGCTATAACTACACATTAAGAAAGTGGTCTGCAAACTGTGGCCCACAGAGATGCAGCCCTTTGTTTTTCTCTATCTTTCCCATCGGGTACTATTCCTCATTCTGACACCAACAATGAGACACCATTCCTTCCACTGACACCAAAAGTGAGGTATAAATCTTCCCACCAACACCAATGATGGAGCATAATTCATTCAACTGATGCCAACAATGGGGTATAATTACTCCCACTGTCACCAACAATGGAGCTAAATTCCTTCTTCTGACACCAAGGATGAGGCATTATTCCTCTCACTGACTGTTACCACAAGTGGGGCATTATTTCTCACACAATATAAGTCATGGGGCACTATTCCAACTACTACTAACCACAGATGCAATGTAATTTTTTTACTGCCACTGACCATCATGCCTGAAACATTGTTTTTTAGAAAATTTGGAGTCTCCTGCTATAAAGGCCATAAAACTACATTTTTAAAGATGTACTCTAGTGGGGGCTGATAGAGTGGTGAAAAGTCAGCATGGGAAAAAAACAGTAACTGCATCTGTGTCATGCTCAAAACAACACCCTCAGACCATCACAAAAGCAATGCACATGCACCAGCCAAACTTTAGGCCAACTCTTCTGCACAATTGCAGGCAATATGCACAGTCTCAATTATTCATGAATAATTTAATATTAATTTACAATGCAATAATAATTTGTAACAATTCATAATTCAATATTAATTCATAATTCAATAATATTGCATACTAATCTAAATTCAAGAGCAACATTTTATATATTACAGCCAACCCATTCTTATGTGTTCCGTGTGGGTGCATTCTTTTTTAGGCTTTTTTTTTTGTGTGCTTTTTTTCATTTTGTGAGCCTGCCAGTAACACCCCTCCTGTCCTACCTGTCCTAGAGTGACTTGCCCCTCTCCTTATCTCTGTAGCATAGCAAAAGGTGTTCTGTAGCAGGGGCGGACTGACCATTTGGAAACTCGGGCACTGCCCGAGGGCCCGGGGTCAGTAAGAGGCCCCATGAGATGCCCCAGGTACCTTTTTCATAGGCTTTTTTGAGTTTGGGCAAGGACACAGGGGCCCCATGATCCCCTATTGTCCGGGGGCCCCATGAGTTGTCAGTCCGCCCCTGTTCTGTAGTTCACAGAGAGAACTGGAAACAATACTGATAACACTCAGCACAGGCAGAGTGCACAAGAAATTATCAGCTCACAAGATTTCAAGCAGGATTATCAGGTCTTCTGCACTATTAAAAAAGATATAATAACATACCTTCAATGGCAAATTGAACAAAACAAAAAGGGAGCAAATAAGAGACGTTCACTGTTAGGATTTATATAAACAGTACATCTCTGACTTGATTATATAAACTTTCAGCAACTCTGTATGAAAAGTCAAGAGCTAAGGAGTGTGAATATTCTGTCTAATACCTGGAATTTCATTACAGAAACATGTAAAATGTGAAAAAGTAACAATGAATGTGAATTCACTGAAAATACACTATTGGTGGTAAATTATACCTCTCTGTCATCATGTCCATTGGAGGACTACAGACCCTGCATTGGTCTTGATGATGTCAGGATCTTAAACTACTAGAGTGTAAGGGAGAAGACACTGCAGAACCAATATAGCAGTGAGGAGGACCAAGGATCCAGTAAGTAAATCTTCTTGAACAAGCAGCTAGACTTAAACAAGCAATAGCCCCAATTCAAGGGATCATTATTAATTTTCCTGGAGTTGGGCTTTAAAGTGGTTCTAAAGCCTAAACCTTTTTTTATCTTGAAGATTTCCTTGCATGAAAGTGGTAGTAAACCGCAGGTAAAAAAATAAAAATAAAAACATCCCTGGCAAGATAATTTCATAATGTGCTATTATGCATCTCATTATGAAGGACTTACCCTAAAACAAAACCCTCCAGTGGCTCATTTTGCTGCAGAGGCTTATACCTTCACCCGGCCTTCCTTCCAGGTTCAAGAGTTCCTGAAATCTGACTGGCCGAGCAATAATGACGTCACTTTCAGGCATGCTGTTCCTCCAGAGTGCATGCGCCAGCTCTCAAAAAGAAAATATCTCCTAAATGGTGCACGTTTAGGAGATATTCATTTTACCTACAGGTAAGCTTTATAAGCTCTAACAAGAGGGCCCTCTGATTCCGCTTGTACCAAATTGTATTGTAACTGTAATGTCTACCTTCATTTTGTAAAGCACTGTTGGTGCTATATAAATCCTGTATAATAATAATATAAGCTTACCTGTAGTTAAAAGTAAAAAAAAAGAGTTTACTACCACTTTAAGGTAAAAAATGTTTTTAGGCATCAGTTTTGACTCCTCACCCCCCCCCCCCCCCTTCCTTTTACTTACCTAAGCCCTCATTCGATCCAGCAATGTGCATGTCTCTCCTTTACTTATTATTATTATTATACAGGATTTATATAGCGCCAACAGTTTGCTCAGCGCTTTACAATATAATGGGAGACAATACAGCAACAATACAGTTCAATACAAGAGGGATAGGAGGGCCCTGCCCCTTGGAGCTTACAATCTAGGAGGGAGTGGCTGGTGGTACAAAAGGTAGTAACTGTGGGGGGATGGACTGGTTGGAAGAGTAGAAGATTCCATTATTAGCTGAGGGCAGGATAGGCTTCCCTGAAGAGATAGGTTTTCAGAGATCGCCTAAAAGTAAGCAGAGTAGGCGTTAGTCTGATAAATTGGGGTAGAGAGTTCCAGAGGATGGGGGGGGAAGCTTCACTTCCATGTCTTACTAGCTTATGCTGGGGAACCGGGAGCCACTGGCTCCCGCTGCTGTCAATTAAAGGACATAGCAACGAGGCTCAGGATCGAGCAAATACAATTGCCCCCATGGACAGAGAGAAGGAGCCAGGAGCACCGGAGGGGGACTCGAGTAGAGGAGCTTCAGGGCCCATGTGTAATTCTATTGGACAGAGCAGGTAAGTATAGAGATGTTTGTTATTAAAAAAAAAATACTTTTCAGTCACTTTAAAGCCAGACTCCAGCAAACAGCTAAATACACAGAGGACATGCTTGTACAGTATGTGGACAGCTTTAGAGCTAAGAGATTTTTAATTCTGTTTAGCCATTCATGTGATACAAACATGCTGATGCAAACATGAAGACAGCAAGATCAGGCTGGTGACCTTGCATTTCTCTCCTGCAGCACAGGATGGTCAACCACCCACTGAGTGCTGACCAGATAATTGAGACTCATCACCACAACAAGGACGGTATCAAGCTTTTGGCTCTAGATTGACAGCACTATACACGGGATGGCAGGAAGCCAAAAAAACAAAAACGTTAATACTGATATTTGAAAATACATTTATTGATTTTTTTTTTTACAATGAATCCATGACTGAATGAAATGGTGATCTTTTATTTCCCCACCTGGAGCTGAGTTTTAGTTTTAGAAACAATTGTGCCGCTATTGTATATTTTGGCTCACATTTCCCATTTTGGTAACACAAATCGACATTTACATATTACAACTGGAGCACAATGCCTCTCCTTTCAATTAACAGAGACCAGCCACCAGGATCCAGTCTTATTATTACTCTCAATATGGATTTTTTTGGCTAAAACATGTGTTTAAAAAAACTACACCACATAAAAGATTTATTTTCAAACAAAAGTAACCGATGTCAAGGGTTCTCTATCTAGCCATATTGTACAGCGCTGATTCACAGTAGGTGTCTGGATGAAAGATGTACTGACTATTGTACAACGCATTCAGACGTTCTGCAATTTTTATATTGGAGCAGTTGTATACTGGGAAGTACTATGAAAAGCTGAAATGCATTAACCTATAACCTGGCTAATGTATGAGAAATAGGTGTGAGTTATACAGTTTACGAGTTTGAATGGAATGAATAGATGGATGCTAGCTTTTGGCTTATCATAGACTAGACAGTTGGAAATAGAAATGCCTTGTCACTGTTATTCTCAATGGAATAGAAAGAAATGCTGTGACTGAAAACATCACATTCACCTAAAATCACTAAACTGTCTATAGACATACGACTGTTAAATTGGTCACAAAAAAAATCTATTTCTGTTATTTATGTCTGTAAATAATACCTGTAAACCGTCACCATGTGGGATTTGTATCATCTGCAAAGTGCACATTAGCCCCCCTCCATCCTCATGATAATATAGGATACGGACCTACCAGGATGGTCTGTGAATGGTACACTGTTGGGTTGACAAAGTTTACTATACTTTGCTGGCTGTGAAGTCCTCAAATCTTCTTCAAAGTATTTATCTCTAGACTATAGTTCTATTGTGTCTTATTGTCCTGGCTATCCAGACTTCACATTTCTCAAGCTTCCACCAAGCCTTTAAATGTGTCTTCGGTGCAGTACATTATATTAGGGCAAAAAGATAGGCAGCCCAGAAGTCAGCATAGCAAAGACACTATCTCCATGGGATCTGTATATTTTCCTTGTGCTTGCTTGGGCTTCCAGGTACTCCATGTTCCTCCTACACTCCAAAGACATGCTGGTTAATCGGCTCCTGTCCAAATTGGTCCTAGTGTGTGTGTGTATATGTATTCGAGATAGAGGCTATAGATAGTGAGGTCCTGAAATGGCAGGGACTGATGTGATTGTACAGTATGTAAAGTGTTGTGTAAATTGTTGGCAGTATATAAATATATCTGTAATAAATAAACAGTTTGCCAAGTCACATTATTTTGACATTTGTCCTGCCATATTCCTGTACAAAAGAATGCAGGGTGTTTCAATTGTCTGGAGTGAATCATTAGTATCCTTGTTCTGCTAAAGTGGGATAATGCTATGTTAAGCTTATGGTAGACTGTGCATCTCATGAAGAACACACATGGAGAAAGAAAATCCTGGTGGAACCAACTTTTGACAAACAATGGAGGTGGATAGGGGAATAGGAGCTCTATCCTAAAACCACGGGCGTCAGGCTCGGCACAAGGAGTATGTCCAGATAGAAGAGTGTCAATAGTTACATAGTTAGTCTGGCTGAAAAATAACAAAAGTCCATCCAGTTCAATCATTTAAAAAAAAAGAAAGTTATAATCCTACACCCTCAGTTGATCCAGAGGAAGGCAAAAAAAAAACCAGCAAAGCATGATCCAATTTGCTCCTGCAGGGAAAACAAATTCCTTCCTGATCTCCCAAGAGGCAATCGGATATTCCCTGGATCAACATTACCTATAAATGTTAGTATCCAGTTATACTCTGTGTATCTAAGAAAGAATCCAGGCCTTTTTTAAAGCAATCCACTGAGCTGGCCAAAACCAATTCTTGACGGAGTCTATTCCACATTTTCACAGCTCTCACTGTGAAGAAACCTTTCCATGTTTGGAGATTAAATTCCTTTTCCTCCAGACGAAAAGAGTGCCCCCTTGTCCTCTGTGATGACCTCAGGGTGAATAGCTCTACACCGAGTTCACTATATGAACCACTGATGTATTTATACATGTTGATCATATCCCCCCTTAATCTCCTCTTTTCAAGAGAGAATAAATTCAGTTCCTCTAATCTTTCCTCATAGCTAAGCTCCTCCATGCCTCTTATCAGTTTGGTTGCCCTTCTCTGTACTTTCTCCAGTTCCCCAATGTTCTTTTTGTGAATTGGTGCCCAAAACTGAACTGCATATTCCAGATGAGGTCTTACTAATGATTTGTACAGGGGTAATATGATATCTCCCTCTCTGGAGTCTATACCTCTTTTAATACAAGAGAGGATTTTGCTCGCTTTAGAATCTGCAGCTTGGCATTGCATGCTATTATTAAGCTTGTGATCTACCGAACTTCCAGATCCTTCTCCACCATTGATTCCCCCAGCTGTACTCCCCAAATTGCTACAGATAACCAGGAGTGAATACATGTCTCTGACACTTCAGACATGCACATGTGTGGGTATAATAGAGTACCAAGAGGGTTGTGGACTGTGTGAAGAGTAAGTAGGTATTGTCAGGATTGCCATTTTTTTGCCTACATATTGTCAAGTCACCATTGTTTAGCGGGCCATATTACTAGAATTTAGGCACTGTAGACCTGTTTGTATAACAAAACACCACTATCATCCTCATGTTTCACAACAATACGCTACTATTTAACCCTTGAAT